TTAGAGAAAATAAGGTGGATTCTTATGACTAGAGTTCTTTAGAGTCTTTTCTTTTTGCTCGTTTTGTTGATGCACTGTATCTGAAGCTTAGGTTGCCATTCAGTGGCTTGCTCAGATCCAAAGGTGCTATTCCACATGTTGCATCTTTTCTGTTTTATGATACTGTTTTATGAATCTGGCAATTACACTATAAGCCTTTGGATTCTTTCACTTTTTACTCTTGAACCATATTTTCCAATATATTTTTCACTCTTCTCATGTATGCTCAACTTTACATTGAAATAATTTAATTTTTAAATTACATAGCCTTATTGAGTTGTTTGTAATATTTCCATACTGCCTCATTCTTGTAAAATATTTTTTTACATTTAATTTAATTTTTCTCAATTTCATGTAAGCAAAAAATTTTAACATTATTTTAAAAATTTAATTCCATATTTTTCTCTACCTTCTTTCCTTTTCCCTGATTTGAGAAGGCAAGCAATTTGATATAGACAATACATTTGCAGTCATGCAAATTATTTTCATGTTAGCAATGTTATAAAAGAAAATGCAGACTAAAAAATCAAGAACTATAAAGAAAGTTTGAAAAGCATGTTTTAAACTGCATTCAGACTGCATAAGTTCTTTCTCTAAGGTGGATAGCATTTTTCATCATCAGTACTTCAGATTTGGCTTGGATTATTGTATTGCTGAAAATAGCTAAGTCACTCACAGTTCATCATTGTACAATATTGCTTTTACCGTGTGCAATATTCTTCTGGTTCTACTTACTTCACTTTGCATCAGTTCATGTAAGTCTTCCCAGGTTTTTCTGGAAGCATCTTGCCCCTCATTTCTTAGAGCACAATAGTATTCCATCATGATCATATGCCACAATTTGTTCTACTACTCCTCAATTGATGGTCATCCTCTCAATTTCCAATTCTTTGCCAACACCAAAAGAGCTTCTATAAACATTTTTGTATATATAGGGCCTTTTCCTTTGATTTCTTTGGGGTATAGACCTAGTAGTGTTATTGCTGGGTCAATGTCATGCGCAATTAGATAGTCTCCTGGAGTAGTTCTACATTGTTTTCCAGAATGGTTGGATCAGTTTACAACTCTACCAACAATACGCTAGTGTCTCAATTTTCCCACTTTCCCTCTAACATTTGCCATTTTTCTTTTCTGTCATATTGACCAATTTGATGCCTGTAAGCTGGTACCTCAGAGTTTTTAAATTTGCATTTCTTTAATCAATTATGATTAAGAGAATTTTTTTATATCAATATAACTTTGATTTCTCCTTCTGAAAACTGCCTGCTCATATCCTCATATCCTTGGACAATTTTTCAATTGGAGAATGACTCATATTCTTATAAATTTGACTAAGTTCTCTATATGTTTGAAAAATGAGGCCTTTATCAGAGATACTCACTGTAAAATATCCCCCCCCCAGTTTTCTATTTTTCTTCTAATATTGGCTGCATTTGGGGGGGGGTTATGCAAAATATTTTAATTTGTTGTGATCAAAACGATCCATTTTATGTCCCATAATGCTCTCTATCTCTTGTTTATTCACAAATTCTTCCTTTATCCATAAATCTGACAGGTCAATTATTACATGCTCCCCTAATCTGCTTATAATGTCACCTCTTATGTCTAAACAATGTACCCACTTTGATCTTATCTTGGTATACAATGTGAAACAAAGTTCTATATCAAGTTTCTGCCAAACTGCTTTCTAGTTTTCCCAGTAAACCAAAAGCACATGGCCCATCCTTTTGAACTTGAGAAAGTCAAGAGAGTGAATCATATGGAGGTCCAGGAGTGCACTAATGAGTCTCACATCCAGATTCTGAGGTCTGATCTTCAGGACCCAGCCTAACATTAATTGAGACTCAGTATCATCCAGTTGCTATGTCATATTTGCATGTGAACATGGTGGGAGGGGGACTCTACACAGAAACTGTGGTCATTATAAGTCCACTCTCCTCAGGGACCAAGGTGGTATAGAGGAGAGTCTACTTGTCCTCTAGGGATTGGGGAGTGGGGAATATCTTCCAAGAAAACACCCTTTTGTAAAATCTCATTGATATTAATTGGACAAATGGAACTAGAGAAGTAATTATTGTCAACCAACAGTAGAGGAACACATTGCAGTGGAGGCTTAAGTCCAGAGAGTTAGATAAAAACATCCTCATAATCACTCAGTGGTACCTTAGAACACTGAGGGGAAGTAATACTGGCATAGCTTTGAAACAATAAGGCCAGACCATGCCTATGTATAAATGTTAACTGAGCTAGTATTTCTCTAAAGGTAACTGGATTCTTGTCCAGTTGTCAAGAGGTGGACAAAATTCTAGAATAGTTGCATCATATCATGCATTTTTTTTTTTTGCCACTAATCAAACCAGAATACAAAATAGTGTTACAACTAAATGGGAAGATGGTTATGAAGTTGTTTTTGGAGAGGCAAAGAAGGGAATTGGTGGCACAACTATTATCTTATGCCCAAAGGTAATAAGAGGGGTAGCTAGGTGGTGCGGTGGATAGAGCACCAGCCCTGGAGTCAGGAGGATCTGAGTTCAAATCTGCCTTAGATGCATAACACTCACTAGCTGTGTGACTCTGGGCAAGTCACTTAGCCCCAATTGCCTCACCAAAAAACAAAAGTAATAAGAAACATTTCATGAGACATTTTTCATTGTATAGCTCAGAGTTTATTAAAATAATTTGCAAAGAGACCACGATGAAAATAATTGTAGCTTATGTGTCAACATCTTTCACAAAGAAATAATTAGGCTTTCTATATATTATCAACAAAGTCTAGCAAGAAAAGATAGGAGGAGAAATTCCATTTAAAATAACTGCAAAAATCCCAAAACACTTGGGATTCTACCCTGGAACTATATGAACACAATTACAAAGCACTTTTTACACAAATTAAGTGAGAGCCAAACAATTGGAGAAATATTAATTGCTCATGGGTAGGCCAAGCCAATATAGTAAAAGTGACAATTCTGCCTAAATTAATTTACTTATTCAGTGTCATACCAATCAAACTACCAAAACTTATTTTGTAGAGCTAGAAAATATAATAACAAAATTCACCTAGAAGAGCAAATGATCAAGAATATCAAGGCCTCACTGGACCAGATCTCAGGTTGTATTTAAAAGCAGTAATCATCAATAGTCTGGTGCTGGCTGAAAAATAGAGTGATGGATCAGTGGAACGGATTAAGTACACAAGACGTGGTAGTAAATGACCATAGTATTCTAGGGTTTGACACACCCAAAGATCTACAATTTTGAGACTAGAGCTCAGGGCACTATGTTTAGTCCTGCCCTCATTTTTGGAAAACATTGAAAATCTGGAGAGCATCTAGAGGAGGATAACCAAGTTGGTCATCAACCAACAAGGATTTTAAAAGCTCTATGCTGTAACTTGTAATACAAAAAAAAAAAGCAACAAATAGTTCCAGCCTTCTAGAAGCTCATATCCTATTGGAAGAGATACCGTGCAAATAACCACCTGCACACAAATTATAGACAGATTAGATGAACAGTAATCTTAGAGAGGAAGCTACTATTAGCTAGAAAGGAAACACTTCTTGCAGAACATGGGATTTGATCTGTCTTTTGAAAAAAGCTTGGGAAACTAAGTGGCAGTGGTGGAGGTGCAAAGCATTTTAGGCACATGAGACAGCCAGTGCAAAGATGCAGAATATGAAGTGTCATGTTTGGGGACGGGCAAATATTTCAGTGTAGCTGGATTGTACAATGCATGGATGGGAGGAAAGTGTAGAATGGAAAAGAGGAAAGAGGCCAGGTGTGAAGATTTTTATTTTCTTTTAAATGATTCTTTACTGATATCTTTTGTTTTAACATGACTTAAATTTCTTCTAGTATCTCTCCCTCCTTACTCCTTGCAAAGAGCTATCCCAAAGAAAAAACAAAACATTTCTTTAGGTATATTATGCCACAAAGGTGGTCATTGATAAAAGGAAAGTCACCACATAGTCCAAAATATTTATAGCACCACTTTCATGGCAGCAAATAACTGGAAACAAAGGATAAGTCCAGTAATTGAGGAAAGGCTAAACAAATTGTGGCACGTGAACATAAGGGAATATTACATTAATACAGAAACATAGAAAATATTTACATGATCTGCTACAGAGTGATCATTAGCATAACTAGGAAAACAATACACATAATGAGTTTTATTGTTGTTCAGTCATATCTGACACCTTGTGACCCCATTTGAGGTTTTCTTGGCAAAGATACTGGAGCGGTTTGCTATTTCTCTCTCCAGCTAATTTGTCAGGTGATGAAACTGAGGCAAATGGGGTTAAATGACTTGTCCAGGAGTTACACAGCTAGTAAATGTCTGAGACCAGATTTGAACTCAGGATTATGAGTCTTTCTGATTCCAAGGCAGGCACTCTACTCACTGCACCACCTAGCTGGCCACACAATGAATATAACAATGTAAATGCAAAGAACAAACTCTCCACATAAATAGAAAAGGAGTCTTATAAGAGTCCTAAAACCAATCACAGACCCAAGGAAGAGCTATGAGAAGACATCTCTCCCTATTCCTCAAATAGGTGGGAGGTCCATGTTTGTGAAACACTGCATGTATTTTCATACCTTTATAATAACATTGACAAGTTTAACTTATCAAAATGAAAATATTTTTGTCTTTGTTGTTAAGTCATTTCAATTGTGTACAACTCTTTCTGACCCCATTTGGGATTTTCTTGGCAAGATACTGGAAAGGTTTGCCATTTCCTTCTCTAGCTCATTTTACAAATGAGTAGACTGAGGAAAAGGGTTAAAGTACTTGCCTTTCCTAAGCCTATTTATTGGTATTGCTTAATCAAAAACATTATACCAGTAGAACATTAGGTCCTGCAAGTAAATGTTTCATTTTCATCCTTGCATACCCAAAACTGAACATAGTGCCTGAGATGAATATGTACTTTATAAATACTTGTTATATTGAGTTGAATTCATGAAAAGAGGTGTTTCCTACTCATCAGTTTTCTCAGTGCCCCTTTTACTTCATTATTCCTTAGACTGTAGATCAAGGGGTTCAGCATAGGGATCATTACAGTGTAGAAAACAGACACCACTTTATTCTCATCTGTTGAGTAGTTGGACTTAGGCAACACATAAATGAATGTAATGGTGCCATAGGACAGAGTAACTGCTGTGAGGTGGGAGGTGCAAGTTGAGAAAGCTTTGGATCTTCCCTCAGTGGACCTTATCTTCAGGACAGAGAAGAGGATGTATGCATAAGAGATTAGGATAATTAACGCTGTGATCATAATTACTGACCCAGCAGAGGCAGAAGGAAAAATTTCAGCAAGATCATCTTGGGAGTAGGAAAGCTTCAAAAGTGGTGAATAATCACAGAAAAAGTGGTTGATCTCATTGGGTCCACAGAAAGACCGATTCAATAAGAAACTAGTGAAAATCCAAGCATTCACACAACCACCCACATAAGATATGATGAGTAACAAAATGCAGACCTTAGTGGACATGTTGGTGGAGTAGAGTAGGGGGCTGCAGATGGCCACATAGCGATCATAGGCCATCACAGCTAGCAGGAAGCACTCAGTGGTCCCAAAGGTGGCCGTAGAACACATTTGGGCCACACAGCCGCCCAAAGGGATTGCGTTCTTATCTTCAAGGAAGTTGATGAGCATGAGAGGTGTGACAGATGAGGAATATCCAATATCTACAAAAGCCAAATGGCTGAGGAAAAGGTACATTGGAGTGTGAAGTTGAGAGGTATTTCTGACCAATATGATTATGCTAAGGTTACCAACTAAGGTGACAGCATAGACACCCAGAAATATCACAAAGAGGATGACACAAAGAGTTGGATCATCTGTTAGCCCCAAAATAATGAATTCAGTCACAGTTGAGCAGTTATTGTCAGACATATCTTGGAAAGAATGCCTGTTAGAAGAAAAAGTAATTAAAATGGAATACAGGATTAAGCTTTGGATATGTCTATTGATGTATTCAGGAAACATTCACTGGCTACCTTCTACATGCCACTTCTACTGCCTTACTCCACTACTTTGCTCTAACGCGCCATGGTAGGGTGTCCATAAGCAAAGCAAAGATGAATAAATTTGTTTTCTCCAATTTTTCCCCATGAATCTACAATACTCTATGATTCACCTATTTTGCCATTTTGAAAGTGTAAAAAAGCTCATTAGAGTATAGAGGATGGTTGAATTCCCAACATAGGAACCTTTCTTAATTATATACAGAGACCATATCCAAATATGTAAAGGCTGTTCTGCCAGCTAACCACCATTGTTAATCTTTTCCAAAGAAATAGTCTGTTTTGCTATCCCTCACCTCTCACAGAACAATTTTCCATACTGAAAGATGTTATCCACCTCATGCTAATTGACTATGAGAAAAGTCTTGGTTTCCAAGATGATCCTTGTGCTCTAAAATCACAAAAGAGAAGGAATGGGGAATCTGGATTCTATGTCTTCTCATTCTATTTTGCTTTTAGAATTTTGTATTACTATAAAGGGATAACAATAGGCTAGATATTCCCAGACTGAAGGACTATGGGAAATTTCCCCTGGGAACCTCTGCTCTTTCTAGATAAAATAATAGAAAGCACTTGCTTACCCTGCTGTAACTATATGTTGCTTACACATTGCTTCTTTCAATTGCAGAATAGCTGAGCAAATTGTGGTATAGGAATTTAGTAAAAAATTATTGTGCCATAAGAAGTGATGAATATGACTATTTTAGAGTAGTATAAGGAAACACTTTTATTAACTGATGCAGAGTGAACTCAGTAGAACTAGAAGAAAAATGTATGTGATGATCACAAAATCATGAGAGGGGAAACAACTTTGAAAGACCTTAGAACTTGGATGAAAAGTGATGAATCATATCTTCAAAAGGTTGATGTGGAAATATTAACTACCACTTCTTGGCAGAGAGTTACAGAATAAGACATGCATTCTCAGACATGGCTGATCTGTTGATTTGTATGCCTTAACTATATACATATCTTTCACAAGGGAAGGCCTCCACTGTGAGTGGGGAAAAGTGGCTCAGTGGGTAGTGCTAGACATGGGGAAAGGCAAAGAGCAACAACAAAACATTTTCAAAATGCACAAAAGACAACGGGGAAGTACAACTTTATATGCATATACATTAGATTTCTTTTACTGGCCAAGCTATCTTGAAATGTTTGCACTTGTTAATGCTTTATAAGTTCCTAATTAATCATCTTACATATTAATTTTTCTGGGATGTTTTTATTACTTTAAACTCCTTTTTCTTCTCTTCTAAGTCCAGTAAGAAAGAATATAAAATATTGAGATAGTGTTCAGCTCAGGAAGAAGCTGACCACAATATCCCTTTTGGGGTCTAGGGTCCAGCTTTTTCTTTGTGAACACATGAAAAAAGGAGGTCTTAATTCAACAAAAATTCGTAGAGTGTTGAGTCAATTTTCCAACACCACCTAATTCACCCATTCCTCTCAAGAGAGGATTTTGCATCCTACTTTTCTGACAAAAGAAAGGCTGTCCCTGTGGGCTACCTTTTCTTTCTTTCTTTCTTTCTTTCTTTCTTTCTTTCTTTCTTTCTTTCTTTCTTTCTTTTTTTGCAGTTCAAACTTTTCAATATCATCCCCTATTATCTTTGCAAAAATCTCTGAAAAAAGAGATAATCCTTTTCTCCAAGGCCAACCCTCTACTTGTTCCATTGATCCCATCCCTCCTATTTCAACTCTAAACTTTCCCCATTAAAAACTCTCCTTTAATTTTTAATATTTTTTAATGTGCTTCTTTCTTTCTTCTTAAAAATGGTCACAGATCTGTCAAATCCTTTAAAAACATTCATTTGGCCCTGGCATCCTCTCAAGTTATCATACTTTATATCTCACGTTTCTCAATCAGCTCTCAGGGAGGGAGGTGGGAGGGAGATCTACCCTTATTAAGTCCACTTTCTCTCCTGTACTTACTTGGTAACCCATTCTAATCTGGTTTCTGATCCCATCAGTCTATTGGAAGTACTCTCTAAGAAGTTGTGAATAATTTCTTAATTTATAAATCCTGATGTTTTATCTTCATTTAAATTCCTAGAGAGTAGGGATTGTTTCAGACTTCGTATTTGTATAATTTTTTTTTATTATTTAGTCATTTTGTCTTGTCCAACTCTTTGTGACCCCTTTTGGGCTCTTCTTAACAAAGATACTAAAGTGTTTTGCCATTTCTTATCCAGTTCATTTTATAGAGGAGGAACTAAGGCAGTGTTAAGTGACTTGCCCAGCATCACACTAGTAAGTCAGATACCAGATTTGAACTTGGAAAGATGAGTCTTCCTGACTCCAGGCCAAGCACTCTATCCACTTTGTCACCTAGCTGCTCTATTTGCATTATTAGCAACTAGGAAAGTGCCTGAAGAATAGTAGGTGCTTAACAAATAATGTTGATTGATTGATTCTTGGTCTCCACCAAGCACATTACAATGTGGACCACCTACTCTCCATGATTATTTTCTTCTTATGAGTTCTCATGACACTCATTCTACTGGTACTAGTACTGCCCTCCTTTGGCAGATTTTGATCCCTGCACTGTCTCCTAGTTATACATGTGACTCCTGGATCTCCCCAGGTCCTTTTTCTATACCTTCTATATCTTCTTAAAGAGCTCATTAGCTTCCACAAATCCCATTAACACCTCCATTTAGATGACCATCAAATCTACCTATCCATCCATCCATCCATCTATCTATCTATCTATCTATCTATCTATCTATCTATCTATCTATCCATCTCTAAACTCCAATCCACACATTAGCAATATTTGGACATTTGCATCTAGATGTCCCACAGGCATTTCAAACTCTGCAAGTGCAAAAGAGAACTCATCTTATTCTTAACCTTCAATTTTAACATCATTTATCTCCATAATTTCTTATTTCTGTTCAGTGCCCCACCATCCTTCTAGGTACTCTGGAATCAGTCTCTACTTTTCTCTCCATTTTCCTTATCCCAACCAGAAAATTGTCAAATCTTGCCACTTCTTTATCATATATCTATATATCCATATGCACACACACATATATTGTGTATATGTGTGTGTATACAGACATATATACATATACATATATATACATATATATATATATATATATAGAGAGAGAGAGAGAGAGAGAGAGTGTATACACACACACATACACAGCTTACGTTTCCTCTTATGTCCACTCATAAAGCCACCCCCCTTACTTAGGTTTATACCTCTTCTCTCTTTAACTATTGCAAAAGTCTCTTAATTAGAAGTCCAGCCTCTCCTTCCTCTAAACTATCCTCTAAAAACCTACAAAAATTATCTTCCTAAAGCAAATGAGTGACCATGTCACTCGCTTAATATAGCTTAGAACAGATCTCTTACTGCCTTAAGAACAAAATAACAATTCCTCAGGTTGGTATTTAGACTCATGCACAATCTGAATCCGGTCTCCGTCTTCAGATTTATTTCACTTTACTCTCATGCATGTAGTCTATATTGTAACCTAACTGGACTATTTTCTTTTCCCAAGACTCAGAATTCAACTCCCACCTCTGTTCCTCTGCACAGGCCATCCTCCACCCTTGAAATGAACTACTTCATCTCTGCTTCTTAGAATCTAAAGCTTCTTTTGTTTCTCAACTAGTGGGTCACTACCTACAGGAAGCCTAGTTTCCAAAAGTCTATCCTCTTTGACCTATCTTGTATTTACTTGCCTGTGTAACTATTTTATCCCTTCCTCTTCACTAGAATGTAAGCTCCCTGAGATTAAGAACTGTATTGCACTTTTTTCTTTGCATCCTCAGTACCTAGGACAAATCCTTGTGCATAGTGGACACAGAAAAATATTAGTTGAATGGAAGACAGCAACTTATTTTTGAAAACCTCAAGTCTCATTTTTATTGATAATATCACAATATTTTGATACCAAGAATTCTAATAACTCAATACTACAATTTAAATTTCTTAAATTATTTTTCTCCCATAATTTTTAAGGGAAAATATTGTTATTCTCATTTTACAGCTGAGGTAATTGAGGATCACAGAGCTGCAGTGACTTACCTACAATCACAGGAAGAGACAGCCAGACTCAGATGTGGGATTCAAATCCAGCTCTTCTGACTTCAAGTCCAATTCTTTTTCCACCACATTAAACAACAAATATATCAGTAGAATTCTTCCCCCTAAATCCTCAATCCAAAAAGTGGGAGAAAAGTATACATGAAATAAATGCATCCATGTATACACAGAGATCTTTACCTAAGGTATCTTTACCTAACCATGTTCTATCAGGTACTTACTATTTGTAGTGAGGTTTCAAGATATGTGATATGACCTGTGGTCAATCAGAATTTACTTACTACCATGCTATAATAATTCCCCATGTATATAGTTTACTTCCAAATCTTTGCCTTTATATAGCACTATAAGGAACCAGAAATCTGATGACCCAAATTACAAATGGATCTAAGAAAGAGAGAGAGAGAAATGCATTAAAGCCTCATATAAAACTGAAAACAAGAGGAATGGACAGGGCTCCCTAAATGAGATACAAATCAAAAATCAGATCTTAGTATTTTTATAACAAAACAAAGAACAGCAGTGGTATCTACTAATGCCAGACGAAGATAACTAGAAGAAGATAATAGCATTTGGGATATAAGCCCTTGAGAACCCTAACACCAAATGTAACCTACATCATTAAAATGCCAGGTGTGAACCACTGGGATTGAGTAAATTACAAACACATAGAAGAAGTTTCTAAGTTCTGAAAATTCTCACAGGCTTTCATTTATTTTTTCTTTGTGTATGTTGATACAAGAGTTTTTAAAGTGCAAAACAAGATTGGATAGCAATGTAGCCAAACTAGTATGATCTGCCATGGGATTTCTAAAAAA